TTGAAGGAAGAAAAAAAAATAATATGACACATAAAAATGAAAACACGGGTGCCTGGGTGGCTTAGTTGGTTAAGCATCCAACTTTAGCACAGGCCATGATCTCACGGCTCGTGAGTTCGAGCCCTGTGTCAGGCTTTGCTCTGACAGCTCAGAGCCTGGACCATGCTTCACATTCTGTTCCGGTGTCTCTTTCTCCCTGCCCTGCTTGTGTGCACTCACATGCTCTCTCTCAAATATAAATAAACATTTAAAATATTTTTTAAAAACCCCAGAAAATCATATAAAGGAAGCTAAATTCTAGATGTGCTTTGGTCTACTTGTTGAAAGAAGCTGGATGGAATACAGTAAAAAGGGAGAGAAGAAAGAAAAAAGTTTAAAATTTAAAAATGAAATAAAACAAAATAGAAAATTGTCAAAAAGAAAAAATTAAAAATTGTCTTTGGAAAAAAATTAAAAACTATGTAGTAGAACAAAGTGAAATAAAACAGAATAGAATAAAACTTAAAAACGTAAACATTAAAAATTAGCAAAATATAAATTTTCCCTTTGAAAATTTTAAAAATGAAACAAAATAGAATAAAAAATGTTTTTAAATAGGTGTGCCTGGGTGACTCAGTTAAGCTTCTGACTTCAGCTTAGGTCATGCTCTCACGGTCTGAGTTCAAGCCCCACTTCGGGCTCTGTGCTGACAGCTCAGAGTCTGGAGCCTGCTTGGCATTGTCTCCCTCTCTCTTATCTCTGCACCCCCCCCCACTCATCTCTCTCTCTCTCTCTCTCTCTCTGTCAAGAATAAACATTAAAAAAACAAACTTTTGAAAAAATTAAAATTTTTAATTTTTTAATTTAATAAAATTTTTTTAAATTGAAATTTTTATTTAAAGAAAAAAAATAAAGGAAGGCAAAAAAAAAAAATCCACAACAAAAACAGAAAAAAAACCTCGAACTAATACATGAACCAACAAACAAAATGAAACCTGAATGAAGTTATATCCATTTCCCCTAGTACTTAAACTGTGAAGCACTCTCTTGTCTGTACACTAAGCAGGTGAAGGGACTTACTTATGTTGTTCCTCTAGGGGATGTGCTTGGAGAGCACAGTTGGAGGGCACAGTTGGTCCGGGCTTGGTGTAATGGCTCTGTTCTCCACTAGGTGGCACTGCTTAGCTTACTGGGGTGAATCTGTGTGGTATACAAGTGCCTAGGTGGAGAGGTGGAAATGGCTTCCACCTCCCTAGTCTCTGGTTTAGGAACTTCAGGTTCTTACCCACCTGCAATCAAGCACCACTCCTCTTTTCTCAGGTCTTTGCCCACTCTCCGCCCCTACCCTGTACATGCCCTAGCCTTCCACCTGCTAGGTAGATGGCTTCTCCTTCCAGTGTTTTATCAGATCAGATTGTGTTTCAAAACCTCAGTATTTGAGACCCTTGCTGCTTGGACTGGCGCTGTCTCTCGGGGGGGGGGGGGGGGGGGGGGCTAGCAAAGACTTCGTGCTGGCTTGCCCCCAAAAAACATTCGTGTGATTGTGCAGTGGCAGAGGTTCAGAGATTTTGGCAAATTGCAACACAGCACCAGTTCTTACTGTACTCTCTTGTCTTTGTCCCAATACCAGCAAACATGGCTACTCTCCAGGGTCTGCTTGGGACCTTTGCCTGTGGTGAGGCCGTATGGCCTCTACCAAATGCTTTCCAACCAGGGGAACTGCTTCTTTAGGAGTGGCACACGAGCCCTGAAAACCTACTGCCTGCTCCTGGGTATTCATTTTGTTTCCTCAATAGAGCACCGCCAGGCACTCAGCCCTGGAACTTCAGACTGTGCTCCACTATTTATTGAATCCTGGTGGTATTGAAACCCTCTCCTTTTCTTCCTGGTTTGGGAAAATGTATTTCTTGTTCATTCCCCTGCAAATGTTTTCACTCTTTGCCTCTTTCTCTCCAGCTACTTTTGGAGGAGTGTTTTTCTTGCACTTTCCCTCTTTCTCTGGCTTCCCCACAAAATGAGCTCCCTACCCTCTGTGGTTTTTCTATCCCCCAGTTTACTCTCCTCACTGTGTACCTGCCAAGTTCTGTGGCTCAAGTTTTGCAGATGGTTGTGTCAGGCCTCAGATCAGTTTCCTAGGTGTGCAAAATGGTTTGGTGGTAATCTAGCTTCATTTCAGGGTCGAGACAACCTGAGAGTCTCCGTGCTGCTCCACCATGTTTTCTCCTCCCTCCTTTTAGATTTTGTATGTTTACTCTTCATGAGCATATTTCCTTTGTGTCCATCAGCATTGTTGTAATAATCACTTTAAAATCTTTGCTAAATCAAAACGTATTTCATTTTATAAGAGGTGTCTGAGTATTGAGTTTTGCTTTCATGTTTCTCATAGGTCTTCTAAATTTGGACTGTATACTGGACATTATAAACGATAACCTTGCAGAGCCTATTTTGTGTGTTACATTTCTCTAGAGGATGTCTTTTTTCTTTCTTTCTTTCTTTTTTTTTTACAATTTTGTTTTAGCAGAGACCATAAATTTGATTGATTCAACTGCAAACTCTGTCTTTCTTGCAGAGAGAGTAGCTAAAAACGTTATTGTCATTAGCTACTATTTTGATAGTGTGTCCTATGCATATATAGTTCCAGTGATTTGAGTAGAATTTAAATACCAATTGGAGATTTCCTCCTTTGGTCTTCTCCTTTTCACATTTCTCCCTCTTTTCTAGGTGCAGTGGTTGTTTTGAAATCTGTCCCCTGACTTTTCTAGCACCAAAGCTATAGTTTTCTGTTTTAGCCAAACTTTCCTATGGTAGCCATGGGGACCTGCCCTCAGGCCAAATGCCATGAATAAAAACTCACTTAGGGTCTTCTTGTCTTCTAAGTATTGATGTCCTCTCCAGTTTTTATTTACTTTACAGGGCCTTCAGATAGTAGTTTTGTAATACTTTGCCCAGGGTTTATAGTTACAATCAATGGGAGAATTGGTCAAAGAGGAACTACTCCGCTGATACTGGAAATGGAAATTCTCCATATTACCAATGAATGTTGGAATTTTAATTGTCTTAAAACAGTAGTAAAACTAGTGTTTATATGATACATCTTTGTCATAAAAGCACTTTAGATTATCTGAGCCATCATGATTGTTAATGATGTAGTAGGCAGAAGACTAATGCATAGGTGCTGCTATATTTAGTGCTAAGAACCAGGGCAGAAAGTGAATTTGGACTCTAATTCAGTATTCATGTAGCACAGTATGGTAACCTAAAGCAAAAAGTTGGGGAGGAAGATAAAAACTTGAGCTATAGAACCAAAAGCGGAATTTTGTCCCTTTTGGAAAATGAGACCATCACTAGGTAAGTGGATGTGAAAAGTAAATAAAATATTGTCTTGCTTACATGATTTGTTCATAAGTTCCTTTTTTTTTCAATTTATTTTTTAAGTTTATTTATTTTGAGAGAGAGAGCACATGTGCACAGGAGGGACAGGGAGAGAGTGATTTCAAGCAAGGTCCCCGCTGTTGGCACAGAACCCAATGCAGAGCTCAAACTCAGGAACCACGAGATCATGACCTGAGCCAAAAGCCACCCAGGTGCCCCTTTCATAGGTTTTTTATCTATCTATCTATCTATCTATCTATCTATCTATCTATCTATCTGTCTGTCTGTCTGTCTGTCTGTCTCATGACCTGAGCCAAAAGCCACCCAGGTGCCCCTTTCATAGGTTTTTTATCTATCTGTCTGTCTGTCTGTCTGCCTGCCTGCCTGCCTGTCTCTGAGAGACGGAGATAGAGACAGTAAGTAGGGGAGGGTCAGAGCTAGAGGAAAATACAGAATCTGAAACAGGCTCCAGGCTCTGAGCTAGCTGTCAGCACAGAGCCCAGTGAGGGGTTCGAACCCACAAACTGTGACATCATAACCTGAGCCGAAGTCCGGCGCTTAACTGACTGAACCACCCAGGTGCCCCATCATAGGTTCTTTAAATTTTAGTGTAAGCTTCCTTGGATCCTTGGAAAAGGATTGCTTATCTTCTTTACCTTTTCTATTCATGGTGACACAGTTTATCACTGTTTCCCTACCTCTTATTCTTTCTCCTGGGATTCATTGTTTCACTGTATTACTTTTACTTTTTAAAACATCACAATTTGTACTTTTAAAAAAACTTTAGTTTCTGATTATTGTACTGTAAGCTTCTTGAAGAGAGTGACCATGTTTTTTGTATGCCCAGCTCTTAAGTCTAGTGTCTAATGTGTTAGATGCTCAGTCTGTATTTGTTGACGTACACGTTAGTATAAAGGGGTGCTAAGAGTTATAAAAATCTGTCATAGTCAGTCTTATCCCCTTTAGTACAGATGAAGTTTTTATCAAACTAGATTTTTGAAGGAAGTGATAGACAGTAGTTAAGTTACTTTGGGAGTGTTCTAAACTGGGAAGAGGAGCAGACTGGCAAGAAGATTTGGGGGAATTAGTAAATATATTGAGAGGAGTTCATCAGTAATGTGTACATTAGCAGTGAAAAAAATTTTTTTAATTTATTTTTGATCAAGAAAGAGAGCAAGTGCGGGGATGGGCAGAGACAGTAGGAGACAGGGGATCCCAAGCCGGCTCTGTACTGACAGCAGAGAGTATGATGTAGGGCTCAAACTCACCAACTTTAAGATCATGACCTGAGCCAAAGTTGGATATGCTTAACTGACTGAGTTTTACATAAATACAGAGAAACCTATGAGATAGGAGGGGAAAATTTTTTAATGGCATAAGACTAGGCAAATCGATAGTATGGAGTACTAGAAAATCCACACAACAAGAGTAGTATAATGAGTTTGAAAGGCTGATTGAGTGGATCATCTTGAGTAGTAAGACACCTCGGGCATGGTGATGAGTTACGAAAAGCATTTAGTCCCTTCCCTTCCATCTGTGTTTCAGTATTCCAAGTTTGTGAGATAAGAGAGGGAGTTAAAAGCAAATATTTATAGGCTTTTATAATCAGATTTCTTTGTTTAAAAAAAAAAAACTTTCTTGTTCCTCAGCTGTTGGACAAGCACAAGAATACAGAAAGCATGGTTGAGCTTCTGGACTTGTATCAAATGGAGGATGAAGCGTATAGCAGCCTTGCGGAAGCCACAACTGAACTGTATCAGTATTTACTACAGCCATTCCGAGACATGAGAGAACTGGCCATGCTACGGAGACAGCAGATCAAGGTATTGTTTTTTTTTTTTTAACCTACATAGTAGCCTCCCTGTTTTATAGTCTCAACTTGGCTAGCCATACATCTTAATTACAAGAAGAGCTTTTCAAAAATGCTGATAGGTGGTTCTTTCTCCCCAAAGATTCTATTTTGCTACATTCAGGTTACATACAGCCTGAGAACCTCATTTTTAAAGTATCTCAAAGGTGATTCTGTTGAATAGCTAGGGATGAGAAGAATCTAGAAAGTAATGTTGTAGATAAATTGAGAAATTCCCATCTTTGTCCCATTTTCTTGTACTTTTCTTCTCCTTTTTGGTATTTTGCGTATTGTGTAGCCCTTGGCTTCTTTACCAGAAGTTATGGGAAAAATTTTTCTGGGAAGACCTTAGTTTAGTTAGTAAGATTTTATTCATCTTGAGAGTGAGAGGAAGAGGCTGAGGCCGAGGGAGAGAGAATCCCAAGGATGCTCCCCCATGTCAATGCAGAGCCCTATGCAGGGCTGGAATGTACAGTCTGTGAGATTGTGATCTGAGCTGAAATCGAGAGTTGGACACTCAAGGGGTGTCTGGGTGGCTAAGTTGGTTGAGTGTCCGTTTTTGGCTCAGGTCATGATCTTGTGAGATGGAGCCCTGTGTTGGGCTCTGTGCTGACAGCTCAGAGCCTAGAGCCTGCTTCAGATCCTAGATCTCCCTCTCTCTCTCTGCCCCTCCCCTACCCATGCACTGTCTCTCTGTCTCTCTCATCTTTTGAGCAAGTGATAAGTTTTTCTTCTCTTTTCTCTTTAAAAAATTTTTTTAATGTTTATTTTTGAGAGAAAGAGATTGAGCATGAGCAGGGGACCGGCAGAGAGAGGGAGACACAGAGTACAGAGCCCAGTGTGGGGCTCCAACCCTCCAACTGAGAGATCATGACCTGAGCCAAAGTTGGATGCTTAACGAATGGGGCCACCAAGGCACCCCATGAATATTTTCTTTTTATGATGTTCTTTTAGCTATTCTTCTATGTCGTTCTGGGAAATGAACAAGTGTACTTAGGTCCATAAAATTTCTTCCTGATCCCTTGGGAAGATATCAAGCAGTGAAGCTAAAGCTGTATTTATGGAGCAATTTATGGTTGTTGGAGAAGCAGGAGGATGTAAAATCAGTCATCTAAACTTTTATCTTAAGAAGCTAGCAAAACCAGGGCACTTGGGTAACTCAATTGGTAAAGTGTCCAACTTCAGCTCAGGTCATGATCTTGCAGTTCATGAGTTTGAGCCCCCCATTATTTTCTGTGCTGACAGCTCAGACCCTGGAGCTTGCTTTGAATTCTGTGTCTCCCTTTCACTCTACTCCTCCCTCTCCTGCTCATGCTCTCTCTCTCTCTGTCCCAAAAATAAACATTTTTTTTAGAAAAGAGTTAGCAAAAGAGAACAAGTTAAACCCCAAAAATTAAATTAATAGAGTGGGGGTCAATGAAAAAGAAACAAACAGGTGAAAAAAAAAATGAGTGAAACCAAAACCTGGTTATTTGGTGTATAAAAATCCCCATATATTTTCTATTTCTAGGTGATTTGATTTTTTAAAAAGAACCACATATTGGGGCACCTGGGTGGCAATGTTGGTTAAGCATCTTATTGTTGGTTTTGGTTCAGGTTGTGATCTCATGATTCATGGGATCTAGTCTGCATCATGCTCTGTGCTGACAGCGCTTGGGAGCCTGCTAGGGATTCTCTCTCACCCTGCTGCTCCCTCCTTTTCTGCATGTGTGTGCCCTCTGACTCTCTCTAAATAAACATTAAAAAAAAAAATGTTAAACACACATCTGTTAGGTCATTACTCCAGTTCTATAGTTGTTAAAAGTTTGTACAGAAATAGGAACAAATTGTTACCAATAAATTACAGAACTTACATTTCTTAGAAGAAATACAAATTATCAAAATAAATTCAAGGAGAAACTGAAGAATATTGATAGTTATATATTAACAGTTGAAGTCATAGTTAAACACCTTCCTGCAAAGAAATCTAAAGGTTCAGATGACATCCTTTGAGATTCATCAAACATTATTTAAGGAAGAAATGATGCCAGTTCTACAAAAACTCAGAAAATAAAGGCAGGAGTACTTCCCATCTTATTTTTTTAGGCCAGCATTATTCTGATATTAAAATCAAATGACATTATAGAAAGGGGTGTTTGGAGGTAAGTTAAGCATCAGGTCATGATTTCAAGGTTGGGCTCAATGCCAACAACAAGGAACTTGCTTGGGATTCTCTCCCACCCCACCCCATATCCCTTGTGTGTGTGTGAGTGCATGTGCTCTCTCACTCTCAATAAAGATGATACAGTATATATGATTAGGGCTTATCTTAAATGCAAGGTTGGCAAAAATAAACCAGTATAGAGGCATCTGGGTGACTTAGTTGGCTGAGTGACTGTTGGTCTTTGCTCTGGTCATGATTTCATGGCTCATGAGTTCTGGGCTCTGAGCTGGCACTGTAGAGCCTGCTTGGGATCCTCTCTCTGCCCCTCCCCTGCATGCTTGCTGCTTATGTGTCCCTCTCTCCTGGTTGTGTGTGTGTGTGTGTGTGTGTGTGTGTGTGTGTGTCTTCCTCCCTCTCCCTGTTCCTCTCCCTCCCTTTCTCTTCAGTAAAATACATATTTTAAAAAATAAACCAAGGGTGCCTGGATGGCTCAGTTGGTTAAGCATCTTACTTTGGCTCAGGTCATGATCTCTGAGTTTGTGATTTAGAGCCCCATGTTGGGATCTGTGCTGATGGCTCAGAGCCTGGAGCCTGCTTTGGCTTCTGTGTCTCTCACTCTCTCAAAAAACGAACAAACAGTTTTTAAAAATTAAAAAAAAAAAAAAAAAAAAAAAAATTAACCAGTGTAAGTTACCGCATTAAAGGAGGAAAATCAAAAGAAAAGCATTTAACAAAGGTCCCTTGCCATTCACGATAAAAGCTTAGCACAGTAGGAGGAAACAAATTTTCTCAACTTGATGGTATATTTGAAAAGCCTAACTTGCATCATACGTGCTGGTGAATGACTAAATTTTATTCCTCAGTTCTTGGGAACAAGGTAAGATTGTTTACTCTCTACACTTTTATTCTGTATTGTTCTGAAGTTTGTAGCCAGAAAAAAATAAAAGGCATATATAAATTGAAGGGGCAAAATAAAGCATTCTGTACTTCTACATCACATAATTATATATATAAAATACTCTAAAGAATCTTATAAAAACAAAGCTGTTGCAAATTATTCGTAAATTTGGTTACAAGGTCAATATTAAAAGCTTTTTCTGTCTTCTTGAAACTAAAGATTTTTAAATGTCATTATTAGCATCTCTGAACATGAAGTCTTTAAGAAGAAGTTTTACAAAATATGTGAAAGTTCTTTATACTAAAAATTAAAAATTTTGCTGAAGAACATGAAGTGTACCTAAAGAAATGAGAAGATCAAGTTAATGGTTTGAAAGACTATGTTTAGATGCCAGTTTTTGGTTGAAATGTACATTCAAGCTAAAATATAGTAGGTTTTTCTTTTTTTATGGCAACTCACTAGCTAATTACAAAATGTTAATGGAAAGACAAGGGAACTAGAGTAGCATTAACAATTTTGGAAAAGATAAAATTGGAGGGCTTATTGCCTGATTTTTTAAGAAATATTTTTTCCTATTATTTTTCAGTGTTTATTTTTGAGAAAGAGTGTGAGCAGGGGAGGGACAGAGAGAGAGAGAGGGAGACACAGAATCCGAAGAGTGCTCCAGGCTCTGAGCTGTCAACACACAGCCTGACGTGGGGCTTAAACTCAACCAGTATTAAGATCATGACCTGGCTTGAAGTCAGACACTTAAAAAACGAAGCCATATAGGTGCCCCCTTTTAATTTCTTTTTAATGTTTGTTTATTTTTGAGAGAGAGACAGGCAGAGCTGTGTGGGGGTGGGGTAAAGAGAGGAACGGAGACACAAAACACTAAGCAGGCTCCAGGCTCTGAGGTTAAGTTAGTACAGAGCCCAACCTGGGGCTTGAACTCAGGAACCATGAGATTCTGACCTGAGCTGAAGTCAGATGCTTAACCAAGTGAGCCACCCAGGTGCCCCTAAAATTCCTTTTTAAAAGTATTTTTAAAATGTATTTATTTTTAGAGAGACAGAATGAGCAGGGAAGAGAAAGAAAGAATCCAAGCAGGTTCTACACTTCAAGCGTGGCCCTAGTAGTGGGGCTTTAGCTTATGAACTACAAGATAATGACCTAAGCCAAAACCAAGTGTCTGATGCTTAACCCACTGAGCCACTCAGGGGCCTCTATTACCTGATTTAAACACTTAGTAAAAAGCTAGAGAATTCCAAACCTAAAGAAAAAGACAAAAAACAAAACAAAAGAAAACTTAAAAAACTACAGAATTCCAGACATTGTAGTATTGGTTTAAGATAGAAATATAGATCAACAGAATAAAATAGAATCCAGAAATAGATGCATAGTTATATAATAAATTTTCCATCAGATGAGAGAGCAGTTTGAGAGGGCGGGGGAAGAATCCTCATTCCAACAAATGGTTACTAGAACTGAATACCCATATATAAAAATCAATCTCAATTCTTATACCATATACAAAAATTAACTTGAAAGCTATCTTAAACCTGATTTACTTATCAAGTTACTTATTAAAAAAAAAAAAAGACACATGAAGTAATAGCTGAGTACACCCAGGGAAGCTTAAAATTGTCATCATGGAAATTCAAGTGAAAGCCATAATGAGTTACGCATCCATTAGAATAAATAACAATTAAAAATTCTGGGGTGTCTGGTTGAATCAGTTAAATGTCTGACTCTTGATTTTCGCTCAGGTCATGATCTCACAGTTCATGACATCAAGACCCGTGTTGGGCACTGCTGTCAGCGCAGTCGCTTGGAATTTTCTCTTGGCTCTATGTGACTCCCCCTCCCCCACAATGGGTCCATGGGAGGGCTGCCTCTCTCTCAAAATAAACATTTTGAAAGGGCTGCTGAGGATGTAGAGCAACTAGAATTT